AGTGAAGCATAGAGAGGAGGAAAAAAGACTTAAAAGACTTAAAAAATTAATAGGATTGGCAATATCTGGTATAAAAGCAAGTGGTAAACATACGGGTAAGAAAGGGAGAGTAGAAAATACTTAATATTTTAGAAATAATGCAGTCTCTTATTCATAGCAATAGCAGTAGCTAGAAAGCCAAAATTTTCCTGTGCTAGTTCTCCAAGCCCTAATTTGTACAGGACAGTGTGACAAGGACCAGGTGATACCTGAAATACGACAGGTACAGATGCAAGAAAGGGACTTTAAGCTTATTATTAATTGCAAGCAGATCTGGCTCATCACTTTTTCTGGAGACCAGCATCACCTTTATTGAAATGGACAGTAAACAAATCTAACCCTTGCTACTCACAAATCCTTATAGAAGTAGTTTAGCATAAAGGGACAGTTATGGTTTCTGCTAATAAGATTGAGAAATATGAGAGAGATGTGGAGGATCTTCTTCTAACAAAAGACAGGATGCTGATTAGGAAAAAATACTTTACAAACATGTATAAGATAGGACCTGTATCTAAGATGAAGAATTGTTAACCTTCAGTAATAAGACAGACAAAAAGTGAGCAAAATTTTTGAACAGATATTTCACCAACAATGTGCATGGCAAATAAACTTGTTAAAAGCTATTCAGCACCAATAAGTTATTTGGAAAATGCAAATTAAAACTGTAAGTGATACACCATGATATACCACTATGTTGGCTAAAATTGAAACTGAAAATATGAAGCACTGGTGAGTTTGTGGACTGGGACCATCTTATGTTGCTAGTGAGAGTTCAGAGTGATGTGTTTTAGGAAAAAAATTGGCAGTTTCTTATATAATTAAATTTATACTTATCAAGTATCCCATAAATTCTCTTCTAGTTAGCTATTAATGAAAATAGAAAAAAATAGCAGCACAAGGCATATGCAAATATTTTATAGGGAGGTAATCATAATATTCTCAAACTGGAAGCAGATCATTATCTTGCATCTGATGAATACAAACCAATTGCACCATATCAGTAGGATGGAGTGTGTCTCATCCACAGGAAATAGTACTGCTATCCATAGCTGCATAGATAAATCTCAAAAATAAACAGATACAATTTGATCAAATGGTTGTGAAATTCCAGGAAAGGCAAAACTAGTATGAGAAAGCAGCACTTTGGTCATTATCTGAGTTGGGAGTGAATCTTGACTGCAGTGAGCCATGAGAGGACTTTCAATGATGAAGGAAATGGTCTGTGTCTTGATGGTGTGGCTGGTCACATGGAATTACTTCATTAGAACTACTGGATCTTACCTTGTGGAAATTTCACTTCGAGCCATTAAAAGTAGGAATTGACTCTCCTCTGATTTTAGCAAACTTCAGAATTGATTAACTAACCATACTTTGTCTTTTAGCAATCATGCTTGTTTGAAAGTTGTTCATTTTTTTCTCTTACTCTCTCTTATTCTTTTACTTTATTCCTTTTCATTAAAAACTGGTTTGAAAATTGTCATTTTATGAGATTGAGTTGTTTATTTTAAAAATCACTGATACTAACATATAACATGACTATAAATTTATTTCATTTTAATTTTCTGGATTTTCCACCCCAATTCAGTCCTTTTCATGCTTATGATCCTGGTCATATTATACCTCTTGACCTTATCTCTTTAATTCTTAAGACTTTAGTTATTTCCTGTGACATTAATAGCAAACATTTATTGAGCACTTATGGTATGCAGATGATTCTACTGACTTTATACATTTATTTCCTTTAATTCTCACAGCATTCCTGTCTAGAAAGTACAACTATTTTTTTTTTCTCATTTCATGGATAATGAAACTGAAGCACAGCAACTTCTAAATTCATGTCACTATTCAGTAAGGAAGCAGGTATTTGATTACAGGCAGTCCAAATTTAGAACCTATTCCCTGAATTATCAAAGTACAAATCCTATAAATTGTAGCTCTTAAATTCTAGTATATATGAGAATCAATCTGTTTAAACATGATTCTCAGAGCTCTCCCTCTCCTTTGCAATTCTTCCTGTATAGGTTTGTGATGAACCCAGTAATCTATATTTTTAGCAAGTGCTCCAGGTGGTGGTATGTTGATCTCAACTTGAGAAAACTCATTTTTAAATTCACAGTACATGGTAATTGTGACCTAAAGCTAATTATTTAACTTCTCAGTGAATTTTAATCTGAGTCATCAAAATAGTGATGTTCTTTTAGTATGAAATGAAATGAAAGCTCCTTATACACAAAGTTTTATAATAAGTTGACTTATTTTTGTTGTTCTTGATAGGTCATGTTATTGGATAGAATTAGTTGACAGTGGCTACTATTTCCAGTTGTATATTTCAGTCATAGTGAAATGCAATTAGATGATATGCAAAAGGCATCTGAAAATGAAATGACAAATATTGATTGTGAGCCCCCAGAAATTACAGTGTTTTCTGCTACAGCATAGGTTTGTAAAATACCACTTAGCTTATTCAAACTTGGTACATAGGTCAGTTATGTATGTATAAAGTACAGGTTGTGTGGCTTCATGTGAAGCCATGTGAAATCATGCCTATACTTGGGGTGATTTATTCTATGCAAAGGGAGGCAACATAGTCAAGTGTAATACAGTCTTGTGTGGGAAAAGATACCTGAGCTTGAGTGTCATATAGTCAATAGGGACACTTTGGGCTCAGTTTTAGGAAATTAATCAAAACAAAACAAAAGGGCTTATATCTGGAGCTTGCTGGTCATGGGGCAAATCTTTAGCTTTGCAAGGTTTTTGTATATTTGCACTGACTGTCCCTAATTCAATGGCAAATCTATTGGCTCAATTTGCCTTCCAACTGCATTTCCCCCACCATTTCTAACTAAAGTGTTGCCAGAATTTGCACTCCATTGTTTTTTAAAAAATAATTCTAGGCTGAGCTGCATCCTTGGGTGGTCCAAATTATCTTGCAAGGTACCAATGTTATTTTTTCTGATGGTCTGCTCCCAAAGTTGCAGGTGTTTTGAATGGTTTTCCTAGGATCTCTTTCTCCCACAAGCCGTCTTATTTCAACTATGCCGTTTTGTTTGCAATGTGAGGATTACAGGATACATAGCTCATTGTATAACTTAAACCCCATTTTAGGAACATGATGATTTCTAGTTCTGAACTATCTCAGTCACTGTAAGTTATTATGTGTTGAATGCTTTGTGAATTACAAAGTAACTTACTTTTTCAAAGATATCATTTCATTTCCCTGCCACCACCGATGCTGAATCTCTTTATTCTGTATTGTAATGTCTACAGGCAAGATAGAAATAGTAGACCCAAGAAAATCATTTATTTACCATAGAGAGACATTTTGTACAGTAATGGTCATGATTCTGATAATTGACAACATTTATGTGAATATATATTTCTGTTAAGTATACCCTTATTTTTCTAGAAACTTTGCTTGCGTTATTACTATTTATTGCAATAGTAATATAATATCAATTTTTTAAAATGAGTGTGTCTATCTTACAGATTTTTTTCAACAGAAATATGGGAGTCTGAAAACAAATTTCTTTTATTGGATAAGAAATTTCTATTAAAATCTCAATACTGTCATCCAAATATGATTTTTATTAAAATTATAGGGAAATTTTTTTTCTCTGTTCTGATTTTGTATTCTATGCAACAGTTTTCAACACAGTAGTGCATGTTTATTATCTGTTTTCTTTTTAAAAATTTATTCCTGATGAGCTTTTGCAGAAATGGAACACAATATGATCATAATAAAATATTTTTATGGACAAGATTAGTGTCATTCATTGCCACTGAGTTTGTACCCTTTTTGGAAGTTTAGAATTTTGTTTTGGACAAAGTCATCTTGAATACAGTGATACTTGAAACTACTTTCAAAGTTAAAATAGTGCAGTCTTATCCACTTTCTAGCTTTATGACTTTGGTCATGGTACTCAATGTATATGAATCAAAATTATTCTTTTTGTAAAGTGGATAAAATAAATGTGCCTGTATTTTGAGTATTCCGATAGTCATATGTGATAGTACACAAGCTACTCAGCCCAGTAACTGCTGTTAGTGCAACCCATGTGTGTAGTACATCACATGGAAGTATTAGCTAGGGAATTTGTATCATCATTATTAAATGTAGAAATTACTATATATTTAGTGCCCTGTTAACTGGGCAGGGTTTGCCTGCTGAACAATTTAGCTGTTTTAGTAAGTTGCACTCTTGTGTGAGTCTAACCTGATTTCATGGGATGAAACAGAATGAACACCGTGGCTCATGGCTGTCAGTAGTGAAAAATAGCTGGAAATCAGACAAACAGCTTCATTGCTGAAATTATTTCCGGGCTAAAAGTTCTTCCAACAGCTGTTTGTTTTGGCCATTAACATGTCCATTCTTTTTTTTTTTTTTTAAGCTGGGGGAAATATGATTTTCTTTAAAAAGAGAATGCAGCCTGGTTATTTCTGAAGTCAGGAAGAACGCCTGTCCTTCCCCTATTGTGGGCTTTTGGCTTCTTTGATGCTTGGACTGAAGGGTTTTTCCTTTTGTTTTTCTCCTTTTTAAAACAAAAAAACAAAAAACCTCAGACTCAGACTGTTGTAGTGAAAAGAAACGGCAAATCTGGGAGCTCTGTAATTCTAGAGAAGGAGCTTTCTAGCATTTACCTTGCAGAAAAGTTTACTCCCCAGAGGAGTATTTAGTATTACATAGACACTGAGTCACTGAACAGAATGAGGAAGGGGGGTAGGAGGGAAGGAGAGAGAGAATGAGAAGATCCCAGCCAACAAAAAAGAAAGATACTTAACTAAAGATGAAGGGAAGTTTTGCCTCTTTCTGAAAGTTATGTTATTAGTTAAAAGAAAAAAAAAATCAGGATGACTGCTAGTTTTGTTTAAAGTATTTGTTCTGGAAATACTAAAGTTGGAGTCGACCAGACTGAGGTTAGGAGCATTTTCTTTGGCAGAAAAAAGATACTTTTATAGAAGCCATGCCTGTACTTGGGGTTGCCTCCAAACGGAGACAGCCAGCTGTTGGGTCAAAGCCTGTTCACACTGCTCTTCCGATACCAAATCTTGGCACTACTGGGTCACAGCACTATTCTTCAAGATCTTTGGAACTTGCTGAAACAGAGAGCTCAATGCTTTCTTGTCAGCTCACATTAAAATCAACCTGTGAATTTGGAGAGAAGAAGTCCCTACAAGGAAAATCCAAGGAGAAAGAAGACAGCAAGGTTAGTAGCTGAAGGTTACCTACAGACTTTTATATCTAAAAATGCACATTTCCTTTTAGGTGGACCACAAAGCATGTTGTGAAATGGGAAGTAGTAGAGGAACCAGGGTAAGACTGTTAATAGAGTAACTGAAAAGCTGAATGTTTGATAAAAATTGGATTTTTAGCATGTAGTTGCAAAAGCTATGGACAGAGTTCTGCATACATGCATATACTGCATTCACTTAATATTATATATTGATGAAGTGCTTGCTTACTTATTGATATCAATAGTCCCAGATATTGCTCTGTAATATTGCACTAATAAATATGACCAATCACAAATGTTAGAAAAAGTGGACCTATATTCATACATATCATATGTAAAAGAAAATTTGGAAAGATCCATGCAGACATGCCATTTGTATTTGAAAGAATTTCTTTTTGAATATTTGTGTCCTAGGCTGCTTAATTCATTGTAATATGAAGGAAAATGAAATATTAGTTTCCTCGATATTGCACATTTGTCTGGATTTTCACTTGTAAATTGAAACCCTACTGTTTTACTTATTACTGACATCTTTTTTCAGTCATTTAATTTATTATATTTTGTGAGCATTAGCTCATAGCTATTGCTAAGCTGTACTGCAGTTGTTTTCCCCAGATGCAGAGTGTCAGCATAGCCCTGCAGCTGATGACCTTCATTGGGGGGTCGCTTATACCCTGATAAGCATTACTTTTAAAGAAGCATTTCCAGAGTCACCATTCTCATCTCTGGAGTCTTAGGAAATGTTGTGATTTTACTTATTCAACTGTAAGTTGAATAATTTAAGGAGAAAAAAAAATACATAGAGAAATCAATTCTGCAAGTGAAAACTCTACTCCTTCCTAAATGCTTTTTTTCATCTATCTTCACCTGTTCAGATCTCTAAACTTTAGCCCAGATGTGGCTTTCTCCATAAGTCTTTGCTAGCTGTTCCTCTCCTCACTTTTCTTTCTTGTGACTGTCTATGGAAACATACCCTCAGTATTTGGTAGAATGTATTTTGATTATATGGTTAATTACTTTCCATCCCCACTGATCTGAAATATGTATATAAAAGTCAAGGCCCATATCTTATTCTGTGCTCTAGTTTCCCCCTCCCAAGGTTTTATGGAGAATGAGAATTAAATAGTGATTGGATGCTGAGTATTAGAATGAATGAATCCACAAATGAATAAACAACCATGATGAGAAAGATTAAGTTTTTTTTCTTTGGACCATTTCTTTTACCAAAGGAGAAGTTTGATATCTCTTACAAAGCATCCTCAAAGTAAGAAAATCAGTTAACAGAAAATATTTTATTACAGGCTTGCAATTGTCTGTCCAATGTGAGTAATTCAGAGTACTCCTAGGGAAGTGTAAGTCAGCAACAGTACTTAAAACTTGAACCTTCTGCAAATAATTAAAGGCGAGTTCTATCTAACTCTGTCCCAATGTATACATAATGTATTGTCTGGATTCAGTGGAAAGGATAGATCCATTTTCTCTGCTGACCATGGCTGTCATCTCTTCAGGGTTAGTAAAACTTCTACTTTGTTAAATAGCCTTAGATTAAGACTTGACCATTATGAGTAGTATTTTCAAAGAATTTTGGTTGATCACTTTGGTTAGCAAACATATTAATCAAACATTCAATATTCCAATAAGACTCTGTGGCTAGTAGAGTTGTACTTATATTTATAGGAATGTTTTCACCATGCCACTTATCAGATTAAAAACTTCTTCGAACAAAATGTGAAGAATGCCTGGTCAGTGTTTCAGAATATTTGTAAATGCTGAAAAGAAGTATATTTAGAGATTTTTTTTGGTGACTTTTGAAAAATTAAGAAGTTGATGACCAAAATTTTTAGACTTGGCTACAAATAGTAGAAAACTCAACAATAGCATGGATAAGAGTTTATTTCTTATTCTGGTAAAGGAAATCTGGAGGTACATGGTCCTTGGCTGACAGGGTGACTTCAGGAAGTTGTCAGACAACCAGGCTCTGTTTAAGGCACCATTATCCACTGTGGCTTCTACCTCTCAGTCTCGAGTAGATAATTGAGCTCCATTCAAAAAGAAACACACCATTTCATTTAGGACCTTTTGACATTTCATTGGTCTACATAGAGTTCTATGGCCTTACAGGTATAGTAGAGATTGGAAAATGCAGTGTTTATAGTAGGTAGCCATGTGCCTGGCTAAAAAGTTATAATTTTTATTTCTAACAGAAAAAAGACACTGGATAGTACACACAGTATATGACTGTCATTTGAAAATATTTATGTGGAGTACTCAGCTAGTTATTGCACCCAACAGTCTTGATTTGAGAGATAAAACCTCGTTTCTGACATTGTCATACATAGGTTTGATCTTGCTTGTCCTGTCCTTGTGTTACACTAGGGCAAATGCAGTCATTTCAGTCATCCAATTGTGAATTCCAAAGCTAGGAGACTAGTCTTTGATGATATACATTGCCACCTCACCTACCATATATTACTAAAAACGGAGATTTTACTTTTGTTTTGATTTTTGACAGTGCTGGGAATTGAACCCAGGGCCTTATGCATGCAAGGCAAGCACTCTACCAACTGAGGTATATCCCAAGCCCCCTGAAGATTTTACTTTTGATTCATAGCTTAGATATGTCCCCTTCTGCATGCCCTCATCTTTTGGTCCTGGTTAACTTTTCTGTCAATTATTTCATTATTCCAAATGGATATGCTCTTCTCCTGTCTCTCTTCTCCATCATGCATCTAACACATTCTCCATGCTCCTTAAGGGGAAAAAAATAACAACTCTAGCTATTTCTCATGTCTTATGATGTCTTCATTCATGCATTTCGGTTTCCCAGTTGTTGTCACCTCCTCTTCCATCATAACTCCAGCTAACTACTCTATCCCAGATGTCTTCTTCCTGCATGCCCCAAGTTCTTCAGACTGCTTCGTTCCACTGTCCTTTAGTAAATAACACTAGTTCTAAACTCCATGTCACATACATTGGAAAAATCTACCATAATGTGTCACAGGCTTATGTTTCCTTTAGTTATATCTTGTTCTGATTTCTTATCTTAAATTTTGTAATCTCTCTCCACATATGCATTTGTTTTTCCGTTTCTCCTGGGCACTCACCCAAATGAGGAACAGAGTCATTTTGCCTTGGAAATTTAAGAATATGGATGTTAAATTTAAGTAAAAAGGTTCTGTTTTTTTTTTTTTTTTTTTTCCTTCATGGATCAGAAAACACACAATCAAGCATTAGACATTCGTGTTCTAAAAGGTTCCTTCGGTATACCCACTCCTGAGAACTGCTTCCTGTGCTGGCTTTCTCATTCCCAGCTTGATCTGTAGCTCTTTCACATCTAGTCTCAATTTTCACTTGGGCTAATCCAGCTCTTCCTTCTTTTATTAATTAGTGTAAACTCAAGTATTCTGTTGTTGTTGTAGAAAGCAATATTTTTCAACATATTTACCCTATATTTTATAGTAAATTTCTCATTTTATTCTCATAGTATTTCAAAGAAGGCATTATTTTCTATATTTGCAGAGAAGTACACTGAGGCATAAAGAGGGCAGGAGGCACTCATAAAATTAAACAGTATGACATCTAGCACTAAAATCCAGAATTTGAATCAGGTTTGTCCCTACAAAACCTTTTTATCCCCTACTTCTTTATACTCTCTCTTCCTGATATAATGCCAATATTTTCTAGTTTTACTCTATCCTCCAGATTTCTCTCACTCTTTAAGATCAACTTCAAAAACAGAAGTATAAAAATTCTCTGTGGAGTTTAAAAGGAAAGTGAGTTTACATTCTGTTTTGGAGATGTTAAGAAGATTATTGAAATAATTAACACCCCTGTCCCTGATAATATAGATGCTTGTTCAGTTCTCCTACTCAACTCTTTGAGTTGTATTGACAATCAGGGTAGAGATTATTTCTCACAAGTGTGCTTACAAAGGGCTAGAACTAGTACTTTAAATGCTTGAAGATACTTAAAAACATTAGTTAAGTCAAATATTTAAGCACAAATACTAATATGACAAGCAAATACATTGCATTAATAGTATTATTAATAAGGGCAATTATTTTGCAGGTTTTTATGGCTGAGAGAAATTCTATATGCATGGAACATTTAGAAAACACTGTAATTGTTAGAACGTAATGGGCAGATAGGACTCAAATATAGAGAGGAAAAGCACTCTTTTGAGGAAACGGTTACATACAATGTCCAGTGAATAAACCATTATAACTGGTGCAGAATATTTACCAAAAGTAGCAGGTCTAGGTCAGATTATCAATGGAAACAGACTTCATTAGGTATATAACAGTGAGAGCACTTTTGTAAGAATAAGACAAAATCACACTTGTGATGATATTTGTAGAAATTGTTGCTGAGAGGGTCTAATATTAACTGGTGTTCATAGGTTTGCTACATGCTGGGTACTGGGTTCAATACTTCATGGTGTGTTTCATTCAATTCTAATAGTAGCCTTCTAGAATAGCCCATTATTTTTATCCCCATTTTACAGATGAAGAAACTGATATTTAGAAAAGTTAAATTATCAGCCTCTCAATACTATAGAGTGGTAGAGATTCAAATAAGTCTTTGTAGTAATAGAACATGTTACTCTTAACCAATTAACTAAACTCCCTCAACAAAGACTTCTGCTATTATCAAAGGCAGAGATGGAAGGTTATTGATTGGTTTGGTTTCTGTATAGAGTTGTAGGATTTATTTTAAGTATTAAATCGGCATTGCTAGCAAATTGTTAATAAATCATCAGTTATATCCCAGTACCTAGAAGTTTCAGGAGAAGACAATTAAGTTGACACATGGACTCTACTGAATTGTATGAGAAACAGAAATAAATAAAAGTAACCCCATGATAGAAATATAGGAGCAGATGTCAATAGAGTCAATCTCTGGCCCTGGCTCCCAGCTGTTTCCTTTTGGAGAGGTTGCCTGATTGCTGAGGACTGTCAGCGCTCCTGTTGGCT